AAAGAACTGCTGCTTTTTAACTGCGGTGCTGCAGAAGACTCTTGAGAGTCCCCTGGATAGCAAGATCAAACCAGTCAAGTCCTAAAGGAAATCAGTCCTGAATATTCATTGAAATGACTAATGCTGAAGCTGAAGCTCCAATATTTCAGCAGCCTAACACAAAGAGGTGACTCACTGAAAAAGACCCTGATGCTGGGTAAGAATGAAGGCAAAAGGGGCAACATAGGATGAGATGGTCAGATGGAATCACCGACTCAATGAATTTGAGCAAACTCCAGGAGATAGTGAAGGGCAGGGAAGCCTGGCGTGCTGCAGTCCATTGGGTCGCAAAAAAGTTTGGACACAACTTACTGACTGAACAACAACAACCACTTTAACACTTTCTTAAAATTGATTTACTTTAAAACCTATCTGCAGAAAAGGCATCATGTAATATCTCCTTTCCCATCTTCACTTTCACAGTAAACTTCTGCCACTTTACAAAAGACATAATTCTCACTTACATTAAGAGTCTAAAAACCTCATGAAAAGAACATTTTCTAAATACTGGTATCTGGAACCTCTTTTGGCACTATAGTAGAGTTTCCTATCTTTCCCTGTTTTATATATATTTCTGTTAAAAACAGTATTCTGGACCAAATTAGGATTTTCTTAATATAACTATTTAATATAATGCAAAATGGAAAAGCAAAAGTGATGAAAATTTTCATTTAATGACTTTATATCTCTACTTTAGTTATTATCAAGAAAAGCATTGCCCCAAAGAAAAAAATCATGTGAGAAAGAAAAGAAAGCCCCCCCGCCCCCCGCCGGCCAAAAAAAATTGAAATTTGCACACATTTATTACAACCAGGTAAAAAATTCAGGTCAAAACCAAGGTTGTATTTTTCTACTAGAATTCCATGGTAAAATGTCATCATGAGGAGGGAAACTAACATGTATATTTGAAATAAAAACAGAAAAAAATCTACTTATTACAGATCAATAATATTTCTGATTTAACTAACTGGCTATACTATGGATCGGCCTTGTCAAGTAAGTAATGTGGAAGCAATTTCCAGAGATCACATGAGCTAAACATGCAGTTCCAAAATTTAAGAAAATATACAAAACCAAAATATTTTAAAAACCATATGGGCAAAGGCCAATTAATAACGAGCAAGATGTCAGTATTTTCAGTTATTTCTGAGATCATCTGGTTAAAACAAAAGTAACAAGTGTAACTACTAGCTACACATTAAGTATTGATAAAGCCTTTTTTAATATATTTCCCCCAAATTCAGAAAGACAACAAATCTAAAGACTGGATTACAAATTATGTTAAACTTTCAAACTTCCATCACATTGCTATATGATTTCTTTTTTTTTTTTGGCTATGCTGGTTCTTCACCACAGTGCACAGGATTCCAGCAGAATCCTGGAACTGGCAGCCTCTGAGCACTCAGGCTCAGCAGTTATGACACAAGCTATCTGTTGCATCATGCAGGCTAAGCTGCCCCACATCACCTGGGGGTCTTAGTTTCCCAACTGGGGAATGAACCGGAATCCCTGCATTGCAAGGAGTCTTAACCACTGGACCACCAAGGAAGTTTCTGCTATGTGATTTCTGCCATTTAATTCAAAAGGAAAGAACTGAGTGATAAATGCTATATCAATTATCACTATATCCATCTATTATGTGACCAAGATTTCTCAGTACTTGTATCTAAAAAAAACATAAAATTACTGTTGGAAGTTACAGCATAGCAATTAATATTTATGAATACATAAACTAAATGAATAAGGAAAGAAAACAGCAATGCCAACCATTTTAATAAATAAATTTCCAATATAACTCTACACAATAGGTTTAACAATGATAAATTACATGTTTATTAGTAATTATAAACATAACTTGGTCCAGTAAAAAATGAATACTTAACAACTTTTAGTGGCAAGATCACTAGATATTAAATTTCAGTAAACATATATATCTTTTTATTCAGTAAATATATATCTATAAAGTATGATAGAGTAATTAAAATATTTTAAATTGCATAAAAATATATCATATGAATTTAAAATACATATATAGGGACTTCCCTACTGGTCCAGTGGCTAAGATTCCATGCTCACAACTCAGGGAGCCCAGGTGTAACCCGTGGTCAGGGAACTAGATCCCACATGCTGCAACTAAGAGTTCACATACTGCAACTAAAGATCCAGCAAGCAACAATGAAGACCAAAGATCCTATGGGCCTCAAATAAGACTGAAAGAAAAAAGCACAACTGTTAAAGAGGAAATGGCATACATATTTTCAGAGATTTTTAAATTGAAATATAGTTGAATTTGCAATGTTGTTGTACATGTATTTTTAAAATAGATGATGATGAATATCAGATCTGAACTATCTTTAGAGATCACAGGATACATAGTGTCGTATAAATTTTATTTTTAAAATATCAACATGTACATCCTCAAAAATGTGTAACAGGGCAAATACTTTATTTTAAAAAGGGGGGGCAGGGTATCTCCAAGAAAAAAATCTCCAGTCGTGTCTGACTCTTTGCAACTCCATGGACTATATAATGTAATCCGTGGAAATCTCCAGGCCAGAATGCTGGAGTGTATAGCCTTTCCCTTCTCCAGGGAATCTTCCCAACCCAGGGATCGAACCCAGGTCTCTCACATTGCAGGCGGATTCTTTACCAGCCAAGCCAAACCTCCCAAATCAAAAAGCAAGACTGAGAAGAACCTCTGTTTATCAACTGAATATCTGTATATTTATAGTACATCTATTCACTGGACTACTACATAGCAATAAGTAGCAATACTATAGAGCCTTCTCCAGCAGATCTTCTCGGGAAGATCTTCTCTGGGTAGGCCCAGGAATCAAAGCAGGGTCTCCTGCATTGCCAACTGAGCTATGAGGGAAGCCCCTATCTAGCAATAAAACAGATGATAAAGATATCAAAATACTTTGCTATGGAGTTACCTTACAGACTACACTACACTACCAAGTAAAAAACCAAGCTACCAAACAATGTGGAGAGTTTCTTCAAGAAGGGTGGCATATTCTAATGTTAAAAAAAAAACAAACAATGGAAGGCTAAGCCATATAATATTTAAAGCAGGTCACCCATGGGTAAAAGAGAAGGGAAAAAAGGGAATCAGGACAAAAGCTAGACTTCTCTGAATAAAATTTCTTTGCAGATTTGACTTTGGAACCATGAAAACATCTTTTGCATAATTATAAAATACATTAAATTCAAAACATTTTTAAAAAAGCAAATCCTCAAATCAACAAAAAAAGAGTTTAAATAAATAAATCAGCAAAACTCTCACCCAACTGGTAGAATTACAAACCAAGAAAAAATAATTTCAAGTGTCTTTAAAACAGAGTAATTTAAATACACACTTTTTAGTGGGATAAACCTAGTGAGATATGCCACCAACAAGGAAAGAAAGCAAAAAGACTTTAAATCATTTTATTAGCAACTATATTTTGTATTGATATTGTGAAACTATTTGTCTAAAAGGATACAGCAAGTAAGTTACTAAATTAACATCATTAGGAACCAAGACACTCAACCCAAAAGCTATGAAAGAAAAATAGTGTATTTGACAATGTAAGAAAATATCTTTTCTCCAAGGCAATAACCACCAAAAGTGAAGGCAAAAAATTAGCGGAAAAAAACTAGTTTAAATTACTAATAACTATTATCAGTAGCACAGCAGTGGGCTAGCTTCTCTAAAATGCCATTACTTTGTCAAATCTAAGCAACCATTATAAGATACATTATTACTGTCTATACTAATGTACAAAACATTTTTAACTCAACAAGAGGCATCCAGTTAGATTTCAGAGATGTCAAAAATGTGGGAAAATGTCTGTCTTAGATGCAACATAAAAAGAATTTCTACAAATCAACAGTATTACAAAGACTAAATGGAAAAATGGGCAAAAGATATCAAGTAACAATTATCAAAAGGGAAATAAATGGACTATACATATTATGAGTGAGATATTCAAACCATACTCAAAAGAAATACAAAGTAGGACTACACCGAGATACTATTTTTTATTGCAAAGATCAAAAGGATGATAATATTGCTAAAGTGTGAGGAAACAGGCATGCTCTGACATTGCTGGTGAAAGTCTAAATCAGGTATAACAAAATTAGAAATGTACCTGTCCTGATATATCAGCTCTACTTCTAGAAATTTATCCTGCAGATATGCTGATAAATGTGCTAAGTAACCCATATAGAGGCTAGTTCATGCAACATTATTTTAAGTGGGGGAAGAAAGTTGATAGATCTTTCCATATGTTGGTGCAGGATAACAGCAGTGTATCATACAATGGAATACTATGCACCTACTGAAAAGAATGCTGCTGCTGCTAAGTCGCTTCAGTCATGTCTGACTCTCTGCAACCCCACAGACAGCAGCCCACCAGGCGACTCTGTGCAGCCCCATAGACGGCAGCCCACCAGGCTCCCCCGTCCCTGGGATTCTCCACGCAAGAACACTGGAGTGGGTTGCCATTTCCTTCTCCATTGCATGAAACTGAAAAGTGAAAGTGAAGTTGCTCAGTCGTGTCCAACTCTTAGGGACCCCATGGACTGCAGCCTACCAGGCTCCTCCACCCATGGGATTTTCCAGGCAAGAGTACTGGAGTGGGGTGCCATTGCCTTCTCCGACTGAAAAGAATGAGGGTGATTTTAATGGACTCTTATGGTTGGTCTCTTAAGATATATTAATTTTACAAAGTAAGACTACAGTGTGTACAATATACTGCTGGTGGAGAAAGAGTAAGAAAGTGGGATGAGAATACAGATTTTCTTTGTGATAAATAAAATATTTCTGATGAGATAAACAAGAACCTAGGAATACTATTTGCCTCTGGGATGGGAAAGTGGGTGGCTTGGACTTACAATCAAAAATAGAAATCTCCTGATATATTAGTTTTTAGTATATAACCTAAAAAAAAAAAACAAAACTAAAAAGCAACACTTGCCTTTTTCCCTTTGGAGGTTTCAGAATCCTCATCTTCATCTACACTGAGTAGATTTGCCTCACTACATAGAAAATAAGGGAGGAAAAAAATCTTAAGTGACAATTACAACTCATACATTAAATTCAAAGTTTTATTCTCCTTGTTCACCTAAATACAGAGATCAGCAAACTTTCTGTAAAGGGCCAGAGACTAAATATTTTAGAATTTTGCAAGCCATATGGCCTCTGAAGCCACCACTCATCTTTGCTTGCGACTGAAGCATGAAGGCAGCCACAGGCTAAACGAGGGGCTCCGCTCCGATCCAACGGTGGCCAGGCTGAGCGCAGGGCACGGTTTACTGACCTCTGCCATGAGCGCACACAGCTTTGTTTTCATCCGAACCACGGGTTTCATCTACTTTCACTCATTTTTTCTTTCTGTCTTGGATTTTAAATTAGGGAGAAAGGACTTAGAAGTAAAGAAACATACCGTTAAGAAAATCTTAGTTGATGAAAAAAAAGTAATTCCCATAGTAATAACCCAATAAAATAGTTATACCTCTACCATCCTGAGAAATATCAAACCTTCACTGAGAATTACTGACCTCAGATTCTAAAAGACCAGAATAATATATCTATTAACAGTTCATGTTAATCTGAACACAATGATAAACCAACTGTAATTTATAAATGAAGCATACAGAACAGGGAGCACCTTAAAAGACACATTTTTATATAATCATGACAAATATTCTATCAAATAAAGTAAAAATAAATCCTTCTGAAGACAATTCTGCTGAACTGTTTTTAGTTAAAATCTTAGCTATTATAATAAATATGTAAAACATGTCAATATTGCTTGTATACAACTTAACTGTTTAAATGCTCTCCTACAAACATTTTACAAAAATGTTTAAAAAGTGGTATATTTCTTAACATTTAAAGGTGGTCTACTCAATTTCGGATTTAATGCCAATTTATCAAAACAACACCTAAGTAACAAACATCTGTAATAGAAAATAATCAGAAACAAAAAGAAAGAAGACCATAAAATGCCAATTTTGAGTGAGAAACTTACTGGTTCATTCAAAGTTCTCCTTCAAATAAAACTTAACTTCAAATTCAACATCTCACAGGAGAAGGCACCTAAAGTGGTAATGATGAATGGAGCTGTTGCCTAGACAGAAGGGAAGCACCTACAATACTCAGCCAATATACTCTGAATGACTTCTTGCATAAAATTTCCAAAAAATATTTGTAGTTTTGGTAGAACTTAAGTGTATATATTTATGTGTCTCTTAATTTGCTATTTGTTCTGGCCAGCAGAAGCCAGATCAACAACTAAGAAACTAATAGCAATGCTAAATTTGTAATACAAATCTCATGATATGCAAAAGGTTGTATGAAAGCAATTTAAAAATTTACAGCAGTCACTCCAAGTATATTAACAAAGTATAATGAATGCTTCACTTAACTTCTGTCTGGGTCAACACCTATGTTTATCATTTATAGGGTTTCAGTTTTCTCTGGTAGCAATCTATGATGAACATGGTTGGGGACAGTGTTGGGGGGTGGGGGGAGTTTCAACTGCAAAGACAGACACTAAACTTTCTTACAAATTTCGTAAGGAATTGTAAAGAATTTCTTAAAATTTCAGGAATCGTAATCTGGGTTCATTCAGTCCTGATAAGTGGTGGCATTTCTTATCACTACCTGAACAGAGTGCCATATTAAAAAAAACAGTATCTTTAATAGGAAATCCATAATATGGTCAACTTTTAATTATAAGATTACATGTATAATATGTACATATTTATACATTGCAAAAGATGAAGAAATATAACCACATATAATTATTTACCAATAAAAGAATTGCTTTTTCTTTCCTTAATGCTACTGTAAGTCAACGTTTTCTTAAGAATATCATACTCTTAAAAATATTTCTATGGAATATAAATTGTTTTTCTAATGAAAAGTTTCATTCTTATAAAATATCTGAGGGGGTAAAAAAAATTCTTACTCTTTATCTGTATCTCCTTCACTTTCTTCTCCATGATCAAAGCTCCAATTATTTTTAAAACCTCCATCTCTTTTAGATTCTGATCTAGCCAAAGCTGAAATAAAAACAAACTCAGATAAGTATTCATTAATAGAGCTATTCAATATAAAATAAAATTGAGCATTTGCCAAACTCTTTGCTTAGTCAAAGTTTTCTTTTAATATGTTTGTCTTTTGCCTACTGACTCTAAGAGAAAAAGAACACATTAAAATCTATTTTTGCTAATTTACACTTGTCCATATCTGTGAATGTGCTACAGAAAAAAAGCTCAAATTCAGTAAAATATTTTAAAAAATGTGGACAGGAACACACGAATATGTATGAAATACATAAAAATCAACCCTGTATCTCCATATTTGATCACTGGTTCTAGAAATTACTAACTTAATTTGCTTGCCTTACTTATGAGAACTAAATCCAGACCACCAGCCTTTTTGCTACCTCAGTCAACCGTCTCTGCATTTTAACAGAAAAGAAACAAACTAAGGTTTTTGGGGTTAGCACCAGGGAGAGCTCAATGTTCAAAACACCTCTCCAAATCAGCACACCAAACATGCTTAACTATGAGATTAAAATCATATAAATGCACGCCTGAAATATCGTGAAGCCATAAGCAACTAGAAAGTGGGAACCTGAGAAATTAATGAAGTTCTGAAGGTGGCATTTGTTTTGGAGCCACCTAACAAAAACCTGCGGAGAAGGCAATGCCACCCCACTCCAGTACTCTTGCCTGGAAAATCCCATGGACGGAGGAGCCTGGTAGGCTGCAGTCCATGGGGTCCCTAAGAGTTGGACACGACTGAGCAACTTCACTTTCACTTTTCAATTTCATGCGATGGAGAAGGAAATGGCAACCCACTCCAGTATTCTTGCCTGGAGAATCCCAGGGACAGGGGGGCCTGGTGGGCTGCTGTCTATGGGGTCGCACAGAGTCGGACACAACTGAAGTGAGCTGGCAGCAACAAAAACCTGAGGCCTAGAGCTTGGGAAGATCAGTTCTGGGGGCCCAGCAAGATGAAAGGTCAGAATGAAGACCAGAAGGGCAACAATCCAACTGGCTGAACTAGTGCAGAAAAAAAAAAAAAGAAACTTACTGAAGAAAGAGATGGGAGGATAATTATGACATCATGCTGTTGGTTCAGGGTTCCGGGATTGAACTAAAGACAGAGTTTCTCTGATGGCTCAGCAGGTAAAGAATCCACCAGCAATGCAGGAGACACGTGTTTGATCCCTGGGTCGGGAAGATCCCCTAGAGGAAGAAAATGGCAACCCACTCCAGTGTTCTTCCCTGGGAAATCCCATGGACAGAGAAACCTGGCGGGCTACAGTACAAACAGTCGTAAAGAGTTGGACACGACTGAGCGACTATGCATTCACGCAAAGACAAATAAAGAGTACTTCAGCTTCATGTTTAGGGAATACCTCAACGCCAGCTCACAGTTACACAGGTTTGGGACCAGAATTTTCATAACCTACATGGTCCAGAAGAGTCCATAATTAATAGTCTCACAGCCTATATGGCCCAGAAAAGCCCCTACTTAAAATGGAAAAGATGCACAATATCACAAAGATGTTAGGGAAGTGCAAAGCAAAAGTATAATGAGATACTATTTCACATTCGTTAGGATGGCTATTTTTTTACTTGGAAAACATGAGTGTTGGTGAGGATGCGGAGAAACTGGAACTCTTATGCATTACCTGTGGGAATATAAAATGGTGCAGCCATTGTGGAAAACGCTTGGCAGTTCCTCAGAAAGTTAAACATAGAACTACTCTATGATCAGTAATCCTACTTCTAGAAATATACCCCGAAACATCTGAGACCATGGACTCTGAAACTTGTCACCAAAGTTCACAGCAGCATTATGCACAAAAGTCAGAAGGTGGAAACTACCCACATGTGCATCAGCAGATTAATGGATAAACAAAACGTGCTGTGTTCACAAATACACATATAGAGGATTATTTTTTGAATTATAAAGATACGAATTCTGACATGCTGCAACATGGATGAACCTTAAAAACAGGAGAAAAATGCTTTATCCATTTTAACTCATGGGGCTTCTCTCGTAGCTCAACTGGTAAAGAATACACCTGCAATGCAGGAAACCTAGGTTCAACCCCTGAGGTGGGAAGATCCCCTGGAGAAGGGAACGGCTACCCACTCCAGTATTCGTGCCTGGAGAATTCCATGGACAGAGGAGCCTGGCAGGCTACAAGTCCATGGGGTCGCAAAGAGTCAGACACAACTAAGCAACTTTCACTTTCATTTTAATCATGCCAGACACAGAAGGACAAATATTGTATGATTCTATTTATATGATATATCTAAAATAGGCAAATTCAGAGAGCAAGTAGAATAGAGGTTTCCAGGGGCTGAAGGGAGAAGAAAATGTAGAGTTATTTTTTAATGGGTACTCAGCTTTTGTCTGGGATGATGAGAAAGTTAGAGAAATGGATAGTGGTGATAGTTGCACAACATTATGAATGTACGTAATGCCAATTTACATTTGTATATTTATAAACAGTTAAAACAATAAATTTTATGTTGTGTATATTTTCCCACAGTAAAAAACTGTAAAGGCTAAAACATAAGTACCAAAACCCCTAAATGACTAGCAGAATCAAATACAAATCTTCTCTAAAAAACATCAATGCCTCAAAAAAATTCAACAAAATATGAGTTTACAACCAAAAATATTATGAAGTAGGTGGAAAGAAGTCATCAGGAGCAAATCTGAAACCTCTTTACATGTATAATATACATAAATAAATAGTAGAATAGGAGCAAGGTTTTTCTTTCAGTAAAAGAAGTTACAAATAAGAGAAGAGAGCTAGAATGAACTGTTCATTCTAGTGGTGCTAGGTTAGAGTAAGAGGTATCAGTATGAACTTATATTTATTTGATACACATATAGATGAATAGATACAGAAACAAATATAGAGACTCTGTTCCACAGGCTAGAAGAGCTAAAGGTCTGTCCTCAAAGAAAGTCTACAAGTGATATCCCAGTAGCAACAAGCACGCTTACAATCAGATTTTATTTTCTGAATACCATTCTCCAATACCAGGAACCAGAGCTCCCAGGAGAAATGACTGATTCTAGGATGAGGCAAGAAAAATACAAGATAAGTCTGGAGTATTCTGCAGGGCCAGAAAGCAAGAAGGCATTTTTAAAAAAAAAAAGGATGGGAAATTTCAAAAGGATTCAAGAGCAACCTAAAAGAACCCACCAATCACCAAAAGTGGAACAATTTTCGCAAAAATAAATGATAACAGTACTGAATTATAATATGATTAAATAACTGAATATATAAATATAAATATATATAAATACAATGATATATATTATATCATATATAATATGATATAACTGAATAAATAAATAAATGGGGAGAAGGGACACATCTTCCTTACAGAATTCCAAATAATACATATACAAACCCCTGCCTTTAAGAGACAGAACTTGTAATTCACTTCCCGAGTCAACTACAGAAAAATGTGACTAACAGCAAGAAATCTGATAATCACTACCTGCATCAAGTGAACATCAAAGTTAACATCAAAAGTGATGTTTTATTCATAGCATTCCCTTCATCGATCATAGCCTTGTCGTGTGAAGGTACTTGCATAACTCAATGAAGCTATGAGCCATGCTGTGCGGGGCCACAGAGGATGAACAGGTCATGATGGAGAGTTCTGAAAAAATGACGTCCACTGGAGGAGGGAATGACAAATCACTCCAGTATTCTTGCCTCAAAAACCCCACCAACAGTATGAAAAGGCAAAAAAAGATATGACACCTGGAGATGAGCCCCCCAGGTCAGAAAGTGTTCAATATGCTACTGAGAAAGAGCGCAGAAATAGCTCCAGAAAGAATAAAGAGGATAGGCCAAATGGAAATGACACAAAGTTGTGGATATGCCTTGGGGTGAAAATAAAGTCCGATGCTGTAAAGAATACTGCATAGGAACCTAGAATGTTAGGGCCATGAATCAAGATGAACATCAACATTTTAGGTATCAGTGAACTAAACTGGGCAGGAATAGGCATTTAATTCAGATGACCACTGTATCTACTACTGTGGGCAAGAATGCCTTAGAAGAATTGAAAGAGTCCTCATAATCAAGAAGAGTCCAAAGTGAACTCCTTATTGCAAAATTCAGGCTTAAATAGAAGCAAGTAAAGAAAACAACTAGACCTTTCAGGTATAACTTAAATCAAATCCCTTATGATTATATAGTGGAGGTGATGAAAAGATTCAAGGGATTAGATCTGATGGAAAGAGTGTCTGAAGAACTATGGATGGAGGTTCATAACACTGTACAGGAAGCGGTGACCAAAACCATCCCCAAGAAAAGAAAAGCAAGAAGGCAAAGTGGTTGTCTGAGGAGACTTTACAAATAGCTGAGAAAAGAGAACAAGCAAAAGGAAAGGAAGGAAGGGAAAAATATATCCAACAACACACAGAGAGAACAGCAAGGAGAGAGAAGAAAGTTCTTAAGTGAACAATGTAAAGAAATAGAGGAAAATAATAGAATGGGAGACTAGAGATCTCTGCAAGAAAATCAGAGATACCACAGAAACATTTAATGCAAAGATGGGTATGATAAAGGACAGAAACAGTAAGGACCTAACAGAAAGAGAAGAGACTAAGAAGAGGTGGCAAGAATACACTGAAGAATTGTACAAAAAGGGTCTTAATGACCCAGATAATCACGATGGTGTGATCACTCACCTAGAGGCAGACATCCTGGAATGCAAAGTCAAGTGGGCCTTAGGAAGCATCACTATGAACAAAGCTAGCTGAGGTGATGGAATTCCAATTGAGCTATTTCAAATCCTTTAAAATGATGCTGTTAAAGTGTTGCACTCCAACATGCCAGCAAATATGGAAAACTCAGCAATGTCCACAGGACTGGAAAAGGTCAGTTTTCATTCTAATCCCAAAGAAAAGCAATGCCAAAGAGTGCTCAAACTACCATACAGCTGCACTCATTTCACATGCTAGTAAGGTAATGTTCAATACTCTTCAAGCTAGGCTTCAACAATAC